GGTAGTCCTCAACGGGTGCTGTCGTTTATTCCCGGGTCTTCATCTAGGTATATTCTCTCACCTCTTCCTCCTTTACCTGCTTGAACTATTTCTTCTCTCCTTCCCCCATACTCTTACTCTAACCACTTCATCATTCAGCTCATGTTAATTGCTCGAGTGTCGACCAGGTTCTCAGGACAACTACTCAGAGTCCCCCACACTACTTTATCTCAGGCCCTACGTTTATTTACATCCTGTTCCTTGCATACAACCGTTGCTGTACCTCGGCCTCAGATCTGCGTAAAGTCTGTTGTTTTAGCGTCACATCTCGTGTTTGGACGTCAAAATCGTCCTATATCCCACTCCAAGACCTTTGCTCCAATGGGTTCACTTCCCGAATCATCCAACGCCGTGCGCGTTCTCATTCTTGGAGGTTGCTACGGTGGTCTATCTGCTGCTGTCAACTTGCTTGATCTGAGTCAAGGATACTCTCCCCGCATGAACTCTGAGCCATACATCCACCATCCTGACCTTCCTCGCTTCAACATCGATATCACTATTGTCGATGAGAGAGATGGCTACTGTAAGTACTCCACAGCTCAGCTGGGCCACACTATATGATAAGAGCCGGACCCTAACAGTATCGTAGACCATTTGATCGGCTCCCCTCTGGCTCTTGCTGATTCCAACTTCTCCAAGAAGAACTGGGTGAAGTACTCTGATATCCCTGGCCTCAAGGACCCCAGCATCAACATCATCCAAGGCTCCGTCACAAATATCGACCCTGCAACCAAGAAGGCCACCATCTCTGCTCACCTCACCGAGGAGAAGAGCACTCTTGAGTACGACTACCTCGTATCCGCTACCGGTCTACGCCGCGTCTGGCCTGTCGTGCCTCAGTCCAAGACTCGAAAACAATATCTCCTGGAAGCCGAGAACCACATCAACTCTGTCCACAATGCTAAGCATGGCGTCGTGGTCGTTGGTGGAGGCGCTGTTGGTATTGAGATGGCTGCAGAGCTGAAGATGGTCAAGCCTCACCTCAAGGTGACTCTCGTTCACTCTCGCGACAAGCTCCTCTCTTCAGAGGGTCTCCCTGATGAGACCAAGGATGTGGCTCTTCAGTTGCTCCGTGAGGCCGGTGTTGAGGTTTTCATGAGCCACCGTCTAGCTTCCAACAACAGGGTCGAGACGACTGACGGAAGTGAGAAGTATGAGATTGAGTTCACCAACGGTCATAAGATGTTTGCGAGTGAGGTGATCATGGCCATCTCCAGGAGTGTTCCAACCTCAACATACTTGCCGACCTCTGCCCTTGATGCGGAAGGTCTTGTCAAGATCAAGTCCAAGTAAGTAGATTGTCTTCAGACTTGGAATCCTAGTAGCTGACTTGCGCATAGTCTGCAGTTCCAGGACGGCACACCCAACGCTGAATCACACTACGCCGCTGGCGATATCACCAACTGGCCCGGTATTAAGCGATGTGGCGGTGCCATGCATCACGGCCACTACGTAGCACAGAACATTCATCAGAGAATCCTCAGCCAACGAGCAGGCCACACCCCAGAGTTCAAGGAGCTTGTGGTCTATCCTCCTGTTATTGGACTTGCAGTTGGAAAGAAAGCTGTAGCATCGAGCCCTGATACAGGCACTGTTTATGGTGAAGAAGTTGCTCAGTCTTGCTTCCGAGATGACCTTGGCTGGACGAGTAAGTTAAACAGATCAAAGATAAGATATGTTTCTTAAGATGACTGACATAAGTTAATAGTTTGCTGGAACTACATGCAGCTCGGCGGCCGCAAGACTGACGAGGCTAAGGCTTAACGTGAAATGATTTGAGTAACTGGCGTTCGGGATCTAATCTTTTTAGACATACTACTGAGGATGAGCGACAACCTTGCGTTGCCTCAGATGTACTGTTTACTTCTTCTTGATACCTACCACAAGAGTCTAAGCTCTTATGCTATGTTTGTATGGTGAAAATACTATTGCAGAAAATATCGTATATAATTTTACGAATGACTGGACTCGCATAGCATGAGATCAATACCAATATAATGAGTGAAGCAATGATTAATAAAGTTATTATTATTATGCGAGCCTACACTCATCTGTATTAGTATGTTTATCGTTACTATGTTATAGCCTTATGCGTATAACACTTACCTGGACTCACTTATGCCCTTCATTCTAAGGTTTTCTCGATAAGCGCTGAGACAAGCGAAAGGGTTAAGATTGCAATACTAGCAACCAATGGCATTTTGTGAACCACTGCATGAGATTCTTGACAAGCAATACATGTTCTCGGTCCTTAGGCATATGGTCGTTGTATATGGTGCGATCTGCATTCTAATATGGCTAGTTGACGTTTCCTTCACCAGGAGATTACCAAGCTCTCCAAGACAGGTACTCTGCCAATTTGCGGAAGCAATAAATATAGTGATACTTCCTCGAGATCTGGAGAATATGTAAGATACGGTGGCAAGAAGAGCAACATACAGTAGATCGACGGCAAATCGAGCCGTAATCATTCTGCGAATGGTGCCTCTAGCTAGTAAAGACTTGCCACAATATAATTAATGGCAATATCGATAAAACGGAACTTTAACGACGGCCCTAAGACGAACTTGGGATAAAAGAAACAATTGTATGTCCTGGAACGTAATATATAAGCCTTTAGGTCAAAGGCATGCCCTCTTGGTGTAGATGCTGCTTGTTCAGGTCTACTCCACAACATCTAGACTCATGTCAATCTGTAAGTAGGACAGGAGACACCTCATCAGGACTAATGATGTATATGATGCCGAAAATTCAGTTAAGGCATATTTGTTTCAGAAGGCCTTTTCTATATACGGACAGCATAAGCCAATGGTGATGACACGATACATGGAGAGGACACAAGGGATACGCACTCGAGCCTTGAGCTTGGAGGCCTTGGAACTCACGATAGTAAATGGTGAGTCGGGAAACCACATATACGAGAGTCGAACTTGTAACAAACAATGAGCATTGAGGAAGCGGGAGTTTCTATTCAACCCATGATAGACTTGGGCTGCCATAGGTCTCAACACTATTACAGCAGGCCATAATGGAAAATACCAGCGCATAAACTCAAACGGTTGAATAAGTGTTTAGTATTACTGAATGTGAATAGATCAGTCAAGAGTCTTAGCAAGTACGAGGTTTAAGACTCCTTGAGGCGGGAAAGTGATCTGCGAAGTCAAATGTCAGGAATTAGCTGGTCGCCTATGTCAAAATATAAGGTACTTCATATTTTATATACTACCTCATGAATTATCCTCGAAACCAACATAGTTCTGGGCCACCCCTTTCACCTCGTCATTGGCAATCAAGCTTTCAAAGTTTATGACCGGTTGTCCATGCTGGGTTGAAGAGCATGAGAAATAACGAAAGTAGTGTCTTAAGACCATTGTTAGACTTGGGGAAAGTCACATTGGTCCCGGAGTAGAAAGAAGAAATCCAACCATTATTCGAAGTCTTGGTCCACGTGGTAGAAACAGGAACACTGAAAGTTCAGGCCAATCATCCTCTGCAACCAAGACGATGATGTTTAACAGCCATTAAGGTCCAGAACATACAAGTCATGAATCACTTTATACCATCCATCCTGTGCCGTATTCCGAGCGATGGTGTCTAGGGTTGCTTTTGCCCAAGAAACACCAAGAATGTGAGCGAAAAGCGGAGAAGACAGACAAGATCGACAGGTCTAACCAAGAATTCGCTGTACCCATGCTCATCGCTTCTCCGGATGAAAAAGATCAGTGATCGTATGTGATTAACAGCTGATCGTCGGGAATAAACATTCATGTCTCAGACCTGATCATCTTCCATCTTGCAGTGAAGAGGGTCTTGCGTACGAACGATTCAGATCAGATTTGATTGATAAGATTGGATCGGACGTCCCATCGGTCAATTGCCCGTTTGTCCACGCATGAGTCCCTCGTACCTGGCTGCCGGGATACCAGTCTTAACATGCATGCTGGAAGTCAAAGTATCGGCCAAGTTGACAGATGAGCGGCGATCGACATGTAATTGACGCCATGGACGCATATTGACAGATTTGAGAACCCGTTACTTACATGTCTTAAGTCCTGTGTCTTTTTCGTGCTCATGGCTGTTCGGAAGTTACGTGACTTAAGCATACACCACGCAGATGGCAGGATAACGGCCTCATGTGCTTAACTATTGGTAGACGTGGGGGCTACAATATCGATGCACTGCTAAGGGTTAAGCATGCGTGACTCTAACTGCTGGGACTAGAGCAATGTCCTCGGAACAGAGGTCCCAGGGGCACTCGGCCTCTAGGCATTCATCAGGCCATTTTCTTCATCAAGATTTTTGGAATCGACTTTTACAAGGGTCATGAAGCCTGCACTCCCCCCTCAGTGGTTAATTGGTGAGCATGCAGAACCTTTAGTGTGGTTGAGCGGTTTATCAGATCCTGCTAGTCTTTCCAAGCGGTCAAAGTCGGCAATACCTAGACCCTGATCCTGGGAATAGACAGCTCCGAGGACCGGATGAAGAGGAGGGGGGTGTGCAGACAGAAAGAAAGAAAGAAAATTGGGCGCCAGGGGTGGCTGGCCTTTGGTTATCAGATCCGCTCTGACCCACACGATAATCTTGACCCTGAGCAGAGTTGGTTTGCAGTACTCGCAGTAGGGGATCTTCGGGATCTGGTTGCCATACGGTTTGGCAAGTTAAGTCCATTTCTGCGTCCTTGACGTCGTCTCGAAAAGGCCACTAACCTTTCATTGCACCAGAGCCGAGAAAGTTGTGTAATGGCTTGGAAAGTTGCGGAATTGATGGGTACACCATCCATGCAGAATGCTGTCCCAAAATGTCAAGCTTGTTCCGAAGTGGAGGACCGGCATGGATACCTTCTCCCACTTATGCAGCTTGGTATCCTGGTGTGAATAGCTTCTCGAGTGTGTCGAGCTTTTTCATCCTTTTCCAAACCTTCTCGCTAATGTCCAATCTTTAATACCCAGACTGTTTTAACAATGTCAGCGCCACAGGGAACATTCTCGGCCCTCAAGGCTGGAGAAACTGTCGTCAAGCTTCCTCATCCATACCAGACCGAGTTTGCGATCGAAAAAGTCTCGACACAACCTGACACGAATGCACCAGCCTACAAACTTGTCCAGAAGGCCCCTGGGTCTGACAAGCGTTTGCCCTTTGATCTTTACAACGCTGGCCTCGTTTTATCAGACCCAATTGATCTCAAGTCGAGTGAGCTTCCACCTCAATCTAACAACAGTCCCTGGGCCCGGGCACGCCGTTCACCATGTGTCACCGTTCATTGGGATGGCACCGAAGCGCCAAGCTTGGGGCAAGTCTGGCTGCTTGCATATGCCCTCTTCACTTTGAGAACATCCGTGGAATCATATCGACTGGAGCTCCATGGCGCTAGTGCCGCTGTTCTGGGCCAACAGCTCACGGCAGTCTTGCTTGCCATTGATCACCCTCTCAAGGGCCGAGAGAAGCGTCAAACCTCCAACAAGACTGACGAGAGTCTTGTTCTTCTCTTGCGAAGTACCTTCTGGCAAGGCGCTGGGTCACCCTTCGGACCTCGACCTGTTTGGTGCCCAGAAGAGTCCCCTTCATCTCTGCCCGCCTCGACCCCTCTTGGGTCTTTTCCCTTGACTCCTCTACACAACACGACAACCATCACGGTCGCCGGAGATCCTGATGATCCCGAGAGAGTTCAGCAGTCATGGCACCCAGTCAGACCAGCCAAGCCCGCCCCTGGGGCTGTTGTTTACAGCCGATGGATTCCTCATCTCAACGAAACCTTCTCCATGGTGTCAGTTGACTATAATGATACCGAGCACGTACGTCTCTTTCATGAGTGGCAGAATGATCCTCGGGTTTCACAAGGTTGGAGCCAGACTGGTACTTTGGAACAACACCAGGAGTATTTACACAAGGTGCATGATGATCCGCATGTGATCGCGCTTCTAGCCAAGTGGGATGATATCCACTTTGCATATTTCGAGGTCTATTGGGCCAAGGTATGTTCATATACGTCTTTCTTCTGATGTTTTTCTGACCATCTCGTTTATAGGAGGATCGACTAGGTGGTTACTTCAATGCTGGTGACTTCGACCGCGGTCGACATTCGCTTGTAGGTGATGTGCGATTCCGTGGGCCACACCGTGTATCGGCGTGGTGGAGCAGCTTGATGCACTACCTCTATCTCGACGACCCGCGCACTATGTATGTTGTTGGCGAGTCCCAGGAGACCAACACAACTATAGTTATGTATGACTTCGTTCATGGCTCAGGCCTAGACAAGCTGGTAGATCTGCCACATCAGCGCAGTGCTTTTGTCAGATCGTCGCGAGAGCGTTTCTTCCAACTGTGCCCACTAGCAGACAATGAGAAGGTTGTTGCTGGTACAAAGCTTGGTCTTGTGCCTAAGCTGTGAGCGTTAAACAGGGTGTGAAGATCGTAATAAATTTATTGTAGATAGATTACTTGAGATATTCGGGACCAATGAAAAGTTCATGTTTGCGTGGATCACATGTTTTTTGATATCCTCGAGTTCTTGTGATAGAAAGAGCCGTGTCTCACTTGTGACTTCCAGCTTGTAAGGTTGGGTTTGCCTGCATATAATACGGACTGCCAAGAAACAAAACGGCAGGTGTTGGGTGTCTGACCAACTTCTTTCCATTTATATCTATAATAACCTTTCCTCAACATTTTCTCAGTCCTAAACTTTTATCTTCCAAAATTCCAAGTCAAAATTTGTTTCACGCTTCAAAACATGTATATCTAATCCATCGCTTTAACTCAATTAATCCTGTCCCACGCCACTCTGAACTACAGCTTCGCAGTCACTTCTTGCTTTCGCAGGAGCTCATCGCCGAGCTTAGCCATCTCAAACTTACGCACTTTACCACTTCCTGTCAGAGGAACCGTTGCCGGAACATCACCATCACCCAGCCAGAAGACGTGGGCAGGCGATTTATGGCCACCGAGTCTCTTGCGGCACCAGTCTTTGATCTCCTCGAATTGAGGCTTCTGGTGACCTTCAGCCAACTCAACAAACGCACCTACGACTTCACCATAATGCTTATTCTTGAGGCCGACGACAATAGCACGTGTGATAGCAGGATGATCCATCAGACGCTCCTCAATTTCGAGCGGGTAGATGTTCTCTCCACCTGTTGAAGCGGGGTTAGTCAAGCATTCTGTGCTGCCAAGACTGATTTGCTTAACTCACCTCTGATAATGATATCCTTAAAGCGCCCAGTAATCGAACAGTACCCATTTTCATCAAAAACAGCTTCATCACCGGTATGCAACCAGAGGACGCCAGCAGCGTCGCGGATCATAGTCTCGTTGGTCTTCTCTGAGTTGTTCCAGTAACCAGCCTGTAGCTGGTAACCACCAATGCAGAGTTCACCACGCTCACCGACAGGCACAATGTTGCCATCACGGTCAACAATCTTGGCCTTTGCATGAGGCATCAAAGTACCGACAGTCGTCAAGCGTGTGTCGATGGAATCGTCAGTGAAGGCATTGAAGCAAGTTGGGGAAGCCTCCGTCAGGCCGTAACTGCTGGTGAACTCTTTCATTCCGAAACGGTTTACCAGGAGCTCCATCAGGTATCGAGGAACGGGTGCACCAGCAATGATACCAGTACGCAGGTTATCACAGTTGAAGTTCTCAGGCCATTTTGCCTGGAAGAGCGAATCAAACATTGCTGGAACACCATGAACGGCAGTGCATTGCTCATCCGAAATAGCCTTGAGCGTTGCATCAATATCAAAGACCTCCGCCGGATACACGATTTTACCGCCGTGAGTGACAACAGCAAGAAGACCGAGCACCAAGCCAAAGCAATGGAACAGTGGTGGAGGGCAGCACAAAATATCGGCAGGGCCAAGCCGCATGCGATCACCAATGAAGCGTGAATTATTAACCAAGTTGCTGTAAACTCGTCAGCTTAGAGTTCGCAAAGTCGACAGTTCGCACCAAGCTAAGACACTGCTCAGAGGAATCCATGGATCACTTACTGGTGGGTGAGCATCGCAGCTTTGGGCAATCCGGTTGTTCCGCTTGTGAATTGAAGGTTGACCACTTGATGAGGAAGCACCTTTGTCATAGCTTGATACAGTCTTTGGTGGTTTCGCCGGCGACCAGCATTCACCAATTCGTCATAGGTCTGGTATTTACCAGACTCGTCTCCTCTCAGCATTACGACCATGGGGGCTGTCTTCTTATTCTCGAGCTGCTGTAGCAGCTGTGTCTGGTCGAGCCGTCCGATTCGTGGTGTTGTGAAGAAAATCTTGCTGTCAGAGAACTTCAACCCATACATCGCTTCGGTTGGTGTGTATGTGTTATTCAGGATGACAAGGATAGCGCCGATTTTAGCCACGGCGAAGAAGACAGCCGCATATTGTTCACAGTTACCTGCCATGATGGCAACACGATCGCCAACTCCAATGCCCATATCCAATAACGATTGCGCCAGAGATGAGCTCTGTTGGCTGAGCTCATTGTATGTCCAGCGAGCGCCTGTCCAGGGAATCACCAGGCATTCTTGGTTGCCATGTTGGTATGTCTGAAGCTCGAGAAGCTCACCCAACGTCAAATCAACCAGTGGGGGATCAACAGGGCCCTCAAGAACAGAGAGCTTCTGTCGTTGCCGTGACGGCGCGGGGGGTATATTCGTGGTTTCGGTCGCCATGATGAGGTTCGATGAAGTTTGGAACTGACAAAATCACTTGGGAACCTCGGAGGAGCACGACCAGTTCTGTAAAGAGAGCAGTCCTCGAGGGGAAAAAACAGCAGTGGATGCCGATCAAGGGTTCTCCCTTGCAATAATATGCATATTCAAGCTCAAACAGACGCTATCAACCTGTAAGTCCGTATTAATCCGCCATGATGTCCAGCCCCACCATCAGTGCCGTACTCCGTCCAGGCCCATGCTCCTGGATGGGGTTGACGCCAATTACGGAATCAAGTGCGTGTATAAGGGGCCAAACGAAGCGGAATCGTACCAGGGCCGAACCGGTGCGGCAATTTTTATGATTTTCTGGTGGTGTCCAGATGGACGCCGTGTCACACTAGACATCGCCAGTTGCATCATCGCTCGCCGTCATCTATTGGCGAAGTCGTCTGAACTTTGGTGGGCTGATCATCCAGGATTCTTGCTTGAGATTCTAAGCTCATGTCGACTGCAACCTTGTGCCTTGACTCATCCATGTTTCCAAGGGCACGATCTCAAGTGACAAAGAACTGGGACCCTGGGGATGGTTCCGTCCTGACGGAGCTTCTGTTCAGATCCTACGCCGTCCACGCACCTTTTGTGGCCACCTTCATTACTTCATCGCGTCAGTACTACTGTGCCAATTCATCGCCCTAACCCTGCACTTGATCCATCAAGCCCAGGCCGGCACGAGACCAAGTTTTTTTTCTAGCGGCTTTTTTGCGCCAAGTATCTAATCTGATGATCAGATAAGATGAGTTGCCCCTCATCAGTTACGCAGGGTGAAAGCCGGAACTTTCTACATCCACACCCCAACCCGAGATCGGCTAAGAGAGGAAAATTTTTTATCTGATCAATCTGGACACTCGTGAAGTTCCATCCACTTTCCAGACATCCTAGAGCAAGTACTGAACTACGTAAGCGGGAGGTAAGAAAACATTTTAGGGCCATCGTGATATGGGTCCCAGACTTGACAAAGAAGCATAAATCGACCGAAAGTTGAACAGCCTAATGGACACCATGAATGCCACTAGGTGATTTCGGTCACTTTTGGTTCTGCGTCACATTAAGAACTGAAAGCTCATTGCCATGTTGGGGTTCATGATCTTCAGCTCAGAAAGGACACAATTCGGTAGAGTCTAGCAAAAGCCTTGTGACCAAAGAATATACTGAACGGCTCACAATCCGTCATTCGCAGCACGGCATTGAGGTCTACTGACTTCTGTCAGCCCCAACATGAGCTCCCGATCTAGTTACAATACCGATCCGGTCCCATAAGGCTATACAAGTCACCATACCTTTCTAACCATCTGATGGTGGAACTATTATGCTGAATAAAACGCCATGGACATGGGACTATCGGTATTCGTGTCTAAACTCAATTGCTAATTGGCGCATAGTCGTTGACAGTCTTACTAGACGAGTGCAGCCTCCTTGTCCAAAGGGAAGAGATATTCTTCGAATGAGGCTCTGTATTCCGGCGCCTGAATGATAAATTTGCCTGGAGACGTGCTTACGGAAGCCCAGCCGTTTTGATGAAGGATGGATGATGTCTTGATCCCGCATCATGTCGCTCGCTCATGACAACCATTGTGAAGTTCAATCGAAGATGTCAGTTACAGTTTGTAGAGGCCACTGAAATTTATCCCTCAAATATCTGACGAGAAAATTTTGCAGTTCATTTGGAATTATCATTGCTCTCATTCCTGCATACACCGATTCTCACTTCTCACGAGGTGGTCCTGGCCCTGCATCATGAGGTGGAGATTAAAGGTAGTGAAGGCTCAAAATTCCCGAGCTGAAACTAGTAATAAGCTTCGGTGTATTACAGTAGGTTTTAAGCACGAAGTTTGTTGGTTTGTACTTGAGTCTTCCAAGCCCGATGTCATCTGTCATGGTCCTCCAGTGGTTGCTGCACATAGACATCCACGCCTCATGAGGTGAAAATCTCATCCAATCCAATCGCAAGGTCGCCGTTGTTCATAACTACATCTTAGTCTAATCACATATTTCTCCTTTATGTGTTCGATTCTTAACTGCGTACTTGCGATAGCGTTTGGTGATACTTCTCCAAGTGTCACCCGTACGAGGTGGGAGAAGACAGGTATGGGGACGCTACGATTCGATAAGATACCATCAATTATGATCTTCTGATATAATGATGAGTTTTATTTTCTTGTTTCTGAACAGGTTTACGGTTCTAATTAGGCGCTTCTGATGTCAACACCCTCCAATGTTGTGTCAGGATGGGTGAAGGTTGTACATCAAGACAAGGAAGGGTGTCATGAGGGGCGACAACCTGGGAGCAATAGCCACTACGAGTCAAAAATGAAAATGGGCTATATATAATGTTGGTTCGTGATGGCATTATCTTTTTACTCAACAACATTTGGTCATCCAGATCATGGGAGTCTACTCTACAGAGGTAGGTCATGCCATGTCATGGCGCACCTGTTGGTCACCTCTTGAATTGCACTCACGCTCAACTTCGACCTTGCCCGTTTATAACTTACATGTGTCCTTTAGTCTGGTATTCTATCATTGATGGTTTCTGCTGGTACGACTCTTTCATGAGAAGGCAATTGTGAAACATATCAGCAGCCCATATCGATAATCATCAGTTCAGACCCTCGACAACAAAAGAGCATAGGACAATACAAAGTCTGAGTGTCACTCACTATTAATCCCACGAGCTCTCACCTGAGTGAGATAGTATGTCAATTTACATGACAAAGAAGTCGTTATCCCAGGACGTCAAAACTGGATAATTCTGTCGCCTACCATAGAAATGGTTTCCTTGTCGATGCCTTTCTTCAAATGATCTAAGCAAGCTATTGAGCTTCGACGCTATATTGGAAACCGGCATAATAAGTTCGTGTGCCTGATGGCCCAACAGGGCATCGTACAGGAAATACTTGACCGGCCAGCCACGAAGGGGGCATTCCATCTATATTGATGATACAGTCAGGTTGAGGGTGCAACACCAACACTTATCGTGTATACTATAGAGTCGATTCACTTGTCCTCTGAGAGGTTTGAATAAATAAGTGCTTGCTTCTTTGTCCATTTCATCCTCGGAAATCATTCACGTCATGGTTAGGTGAAGCATCTCGGCGTGAACAGATCACTGAGAAACCTTCAAGAGTCCATAAATGCCACACATTTACTCGTTGATATTATTGGTTCCATCTTGATATGTATGTCGACCAAAGTCTTTCCAATCATGCGACGGACTTATCTTGATCGAGGTTATGATAGTTGAGCGTCGCCATGCTTATCTGATTTGTGCACTCCAACCAGGACACTTGGAGGCTTAGAACACTCACTATTGCTCGTATCATTCAATAGCAGCTGAGTTTTATTAGCATCAACTGGAAATCTATCAAGTGTCGTCTCAAGGAGCATACGTTCGAACAACGCAATGAAACCCAGTAAAGTCATGTCGAAGTCAATGTGCCGCAATACGCTTAGCTCGCAGTACAAAACATAGAAAGAAACATGATTTAATTCTATAAACGCCAAAGAAGACAGTGAAGCGGGCCAGTTGTTGTAACAGATTTGGGAGATTGTGAGTCATGTCTGTTTCAAACCCCATTAGCGATAGACACACAACCACAAACAAGTTGCTCAAGCAATAGTTTAAAACATCCGGGAGCTCCTGATTCTTTAATATTTACTCTTAGGGCTTCTAAGTCGCAGGCTGTGTGAGAAGTTGCCGTTTGGGTTAACAATTATGTTAAGGAAATATGCTAAAGGTTTAGGTTAACCAGCTCCGCACATAGTGCAGAACGCACAGATAATGCAAACCCAACCATAGTTCCACATCAGCCTATCCCAAACAATTGAAGACATCAAAATGAAGAAACAAAAAGCAAAAAAACATGGAGAAACGGAAAAAGAAATGCGTAATCTGGGAATCGAACCCAGGGCTCCCCGACGCTGCTCGAATGGCAACGGAGAATTTTACCACTAAACCAATTACGCTGGTTCTTGTTGTTAAAGGTCGGCAGTCTATTGAGCATGAAGTCGTTGGCAACTTGGGCACATTGTACGTGTATCTTCGATGCGCCGTAGATGATTCAAAGTAAGAAGTAAGTTGAGGGAGGAAAGAAAGGTTGAACTGGTCACTTGTTGTGTAAGAGTCAAACCGGGCTGAGCTTGGACTGTGAGAAGGGGGTAACTAAAGGCAGAAGATCTGACTCCCATTTCTACTATTTTGAAACATGAAACTGCATGTTCTTGAAGCTTCTTGATTGATATATTCAAGAAAGATCCTACGCCGAATCATTATCAAACACTATTTGGTAGTCTCTGGGTAATAGGACTTACATCCTGATATAGTTGTCATCCTTCAGACTTCGTACAGGTTTTCTTAACCTTGACTTTATTTTCAAACCTTTATATAGTTTCCAGGCAAATCCGAGTGTTTAATGATATATAGATCAAACAGTTCATAACGGGCCATCACTGAAACTTACAGTGTGTGTGGTTAAGTTTGAAATAACTACATGATCTTTGATAAAGGAGTAAGGAAATGCCAAAGCAGCCGAAACCTCAAAGAAAGACGCAGACTTCAAGCTGACACAGTGTTCACGTTCGTGTTGAACAGAAACATATTCACCACTCAGCCTTATTGAATACCTGTTGAGTCGACATATCAGTATGGTTGAGACCTACACATGTCAGTCTTGAGGCAGCTGAAGAGAATGATAGATATGGCCCTAGGAAGAAATGCTGTTACCTATCAGACATCGAACACTGTGAGATAGGTTCTGTACAATTCCCGCAGCAAGCTCGTACCGTGACAGGGACCAGACTTAGGAGAGACATGCTGGGGGCCGTCTTGTCACAACTATGGTCCCCACCAATAAACTTACTCTTGGGTGGACATAGAAGTCTCGCTCGTTGCTATTCTTTTCACATAAATACTCGGCAATAATGTGTTTTTGTTTGTTTCAGCCTGATCCCAAGCTTCGCTGAATGTTTGAAAGCTACTATCTTTGCAGTGTTACATCCTTGGATGGGCTGAAATTTGCCGGGCACGTTGAAACTCTTTCGACATTTCCGTGACAGGGTCGAAAGCCACTAGAAACTGCACGAACTGAAGAGACCAGAAGGAAGATCCGCCTTTGCCTAAACCTGAGGCGATCGTAGTACCTCGTTTTCAGTCGATCCTATCATCAAAAGATCAAGTTTTGACATTCAAGTTCCAGTCCAGAACAGTCCAACAACATCAGCCCATCACATCAGCATCTTCAGCCTCCACTGTCTTTTTGGTACATGTGCTTTGCAAAACAATACTTGTCGGGATAACCTCAATACGTAGGCAAAAGGCTTCCCCGGCACTTCAAAGTCAATATATCTGCATCTGTCCCGATGATGTGCGATCGACAGGGTGCGTACCTCACATGACACTTACGGAACGAGCCGTTATCTTAGGTCTTACAGTGACAGTCTACAGAGATTCCGTCGAAACTCTGTCAAGACAATCAAAACTCAATTCTAAGGGCACGTGATACTCTTACAACGAACTATGGCGTCAACCCTAAATCATCCCAGTCTATTACATCACGAGAGCACCAAGACAACGTTACCATCACTAAACTCAGTGAGCAACAGGGGAAAAGCAATGCCAGGTGAAAAAATATAGTTATAGCAAAGTAAATTAGCATGGTCGCAATGCTGGGACCAAGAGGTATCAAAATGCATGCTTCCTCTCAGCTGCTCCAAGAGACTCCTATATGGAGACAAACCCATGCCCAAAAACTCCCCATACCAGCATGACCAGGTCATGCCAGAAAACATAAAATAAAGAGAAGTAGACCAGAATACATAACACGTTTCCCTTCCCTACATGGTATACCGAGCCAGAAAGCGAGAGCCCATATATAAGCGCCATGCGTCAATCGTAATGATAATCCTCCGGGTTTTAATCATAATCATGAATTCGTAACGAGATAGCCTCAATTAGGAGTCTCTGTCCCTTCCCCAATACCAAGAGCTCTAACGAGGCTGCGGCGAATGCCTTTACCACCTGTCGAGTCGTCCTTGTCGCGACCCAGCAGACCAAAGCTCATGCGGCGTACAGTACTGCCCGTGTTCTCTGAGGGGTTTGAAGGCTTCTTAGGCTTCTTCTTCTTGGCGACAGGAGCGGGAGCCATGGTCGGTCGCGGAGGCCACTCGCCATCTCGCTTCCAGCCAGTAACGCAAGCTCGGAGCATATCGGACAAATTGATAGGGCACGAGGGCTGAAGGCTGTGAATGATGACCTTGTCGTAGAGACTGAGATAGACAGAAGGTGTGATAGATGCACGCAGAGGGTTATTGGGAGGTAGGAGAGGCGGCGGAAGAGGAAGCAGGACCTCGACAGGATAATTTCGGCTGTCGGGAGGTGTTGACGGTGTGGTGTCTTTAGATCGAGCATTGCGAAGCTCGTCGCTTCTCGCAAGTGACGAATTGTCTGAAGCATCACTAACTTGCGGTGGTAAAGTAGACGCGATTGTCGAGCCAGGAGGAGACGTTGACATGGAGCGACGGAAGAAGAATCGACGGGGAGATAGTGGTGACACAGCAGGGGGCGATGCAGGCTTGGCCCGAACTCGAACAGTTCGTGCGCCCGTCCATGCATTTCGCCGCGCTTCGAAACAGGCGAGTCCCTCGTTCCATTCCATTTCCTTGCGAACTGCTCTCCTTCGCTTGGCGCGCTTGCCCTGGACCGCAGCTTGGATAGTGGAGCCCACATTGTTGGGGTTGTCAAAGCGGAATGGTGATCGTGAAGGGCCAGGCTCATCTTCATCGTCGGAAAGGTCTGATGCCCATTCTAGACGTGTGCGATAGTTGACTAAATCTTCAGAGACAGTACTGTAGGTGGACTCAGCATCGCTGCCGTCTTCATCATCCGATGACTCGGGGTCATCTACTTGGTACCCATCATCTTCGCGAGTCTCATCTTGAATTGACTTTGTCGGTTCTGTGACATCGAGACTGGTGACAGCCTCAATCGCATCAGGTGATTCAGATGTAGTGTCGACAACAGCGACGTCACCTTCAACTAGTGGGGGCTCGACAACGCGAGAAGGCCATGGGAATTCCCAATCATTTTTTACTTTGGCTTCGAGATACCTCTTCACAGCTTCCTTCTGCTTCACCTTGTCCTTGCTGAGAAGGTCTGCATGTTCCTCACCGTACCAATCTGGGGTATTGGTTGACAGCGGTGTTGGTAACTGGACCGAGTGGTGACGAAGCTTAGCGATGGGTGATCGCGGACTCTTGTAAATATCTGAGAATATCATGTTTGCAGAAGTGCTTGCCCGGGCTTCGGTGGCCCTTGAGGCAAGTTGAGCAGTGTTTGTTGGCGATTGCTTTGAAGAGCCCAATGGCAATGCGGGTGACTCAGTAATTGGAGTTGTGGTAATGGGTGTAGTATCGGTGGCGGCAATTGTCGAGCGAGAATGTGGGGGAGCGGATGCGACCTGAAGTAGGGGGTGGACGTTGGTTGGGGAGGATGATGTGATATCTCGAGTTGGTGATTGTTGTCGACTCTGTTGTTCGCGTTCTTGTCCTTGATCTGGATCACTTGTCTTTGCGACTGGATTATGTTATTAGGCGATCCTCCTTAACAGGCAAAATGCAAAGTTTGACAAGACAAAGTTTAACAAAGGCGAAAAAAAACAGCAGCCAACAATTCTGAAGGAAAGATGGGCGGATGTGTGTGTGTGTGTGTTTGTGTGTGTGGACGTGGTACAGCGCAATCCGGGGGCGCCAAAGGGGATGGTTTATATGGAGGCAGGTGGTGGTATCGTTTGAGCGGAGGTGGCGTTGGAAGATCAGGTTAAGGTAAAGCGCTATTGACAGGGCTCGCATGGGTCATTTTTGAGTACCAGCGATGCTCCGAGTTGTTCTCGATGCGACTGACACTCTGCGGCTCCTTGTCCGATTGAAGAGAATGTGTCTCCTTATATGACGATGTGTTGTCGCTTAGGGAGGCATGTAACGCGGGGAACAGGAACAGAAAACAACAGGGACTTGAAGAGCCAAGGCCCTGCAATTTATGATCGAAGCCAAGGCTGAAAAAAGAGGAAAGACGAGATCCAATTGACGAGCTGTAACAGGAGAGAGGGAGGCAAAAGACTTGCTTGGCTCACTCGGACATGATCGGCAGCGGATCCCCAGAAACTAGAGCCGCAGTGGTAGCGCGGAGTGGATCTGCGATGTAATGCAATGTGAGACGAGACAAGACAGGAAAGGAATTGGCAGTAATTGACTTGAGACAGATGAAGAGGCAGAGATAAACAGAGTGAAAAGGAGACGAGAATTAGACCTGTGGCTGTCTGACAACTCCAGTGAATGTCTAAAAACCCAGATTTCAGAATCAAGGACTGGGTTGTCTGATGCATCAAAAGCTTGGATACTTTGGAGGTCCTAGTCCCTGCATCTCCAGGCTCTGGACAATTCAATCTAGCGGTGATCACTTGTGCAGCCTTGACACTTGCATGGACTGATGAGCGAGCGAGACGAGTGAAAAGATGGGGTAAGGTTGGCGGGTTAGGTTTTGAGTTTGTGTGCTGCCCGAGAATAGAAGACGGTGTTGGCCGAGAACAGAAGAAAATACGATAAGCAGACAAAGAAAGTGATCAACTTACCACTGCCGATATCGACATTCGATGAATCTGTAAGAGCTACAGTTGTAGGCGACTGATGACGGTCGGAGCCGACGAAAGATGCTTGTTCACTACCAGCGCCAGAGCCAGGCGTTTTAAGCGGAGAAGGTGGCATGACTGAAGAGGAAGGCTGAAGGAGGACAGGTCTCAGTTGCTGTCAGTACTGTACTGTAGGTAGTGGTCGGCAAGGGTCCAAGTCCAGAACTGGAACGATTAACAGAGTTTTTGGCTTTTGGGGGCCTCAAGGTTCTGCTACCGGTTCTGGTTCTGGTTCTGGCTCTGGCTCTCGTTCTGGACCAGTTTACGGGTGGTCTGGCCTAGTACTGAAAGGTATCGAGACGAGTCAAGTGCTTCTCGTTGCAGCAGCCAAGAAATACCTCACACAAGTCAAATGTTAGATTCTGATATTTCCGAGGCACAGGCGCAACGTGCGTGCACTCGGAATGTGGGAAAAAATATGGTGGTTGGCGGCGGCAGCAGCTTCTGTTCGAGTGTGCAGTGACTGAGTGAGGTGAGGTTTGTGCGACAAATTTTGACAGCAAACCTGAGGTACCGTGCTCCACCCTCAAAACACTCACCCTAGACCCTCCCCAGTCCCCTAAAATTCAGCGCCAGAGCCTGTGAGTGAGCCTGTGCGACAGCTCGAATCTCCTCTACCGGACTGACTTGCTTGGGTTGCAATTGGAAGAGCCCTTTTTGGCTAGAGGTGGGATCTAATGATCCTTGTCCAAACACGGGAACGTACAGAAATTTATTGATACCTAAAATAAACGGGAGGGTTCGGTTCGCGCTTGTTTCCGACGGGTAAACGATGCATCCATCCATCACCTTTGGCCATTTTCGTATTATTCTGTCTTGCTTTTTTGCATGTGAAGAAGAGGCAGTGGATCAAATGTCGTGTGACTCTGGATAAACTCCCCCTCGCGATCGATGGATATTCGCTTACAGCTCGACCCAAGTACCTTTAGCGAATGGAGACAAACTTTCAGGCTACAACTGGGGAATAGCGGGGGATGAGGAATCACCAGCCACGGGGCAATCAGGCCTGAAGTTGGAAAAGCTGGAGCGGTCAATTGATCTTTCTCATTGGTTGACAAGTGTCAGCCGCCCAACTTGACACTCGATGCCCTGGACTGTTGATGCACGTGGACACATCACGACAGTCACCTGCCTACCTTACACATCAGATATCAGCAATCATACCATACAGATACAACTCAAGAAAACAAGAAACTCGAGAACAAAGAATACTCTAGCGGCAATTTGTATCTCCATCTCCTCATTTCCACTTTAACTCTCATAGCTCGTTCATCGTTTCTCACTCAACTTTAACTTCACACCCCGGTTACCTTAATGTAAGGTAACTTCAAGTGACGTAGACGCCGTTAAAAAGATATGCAGGTAAATGCAATAGTCACACCATCGCCATTTAAATAGTCGCCTATCGCGGTTGCTGACTATCAGCCAACAACCATGGGCCATTTCACTGTCTAAGGCAGGCATGCCCGTTCCTTTCTTTGACGATGCAAGTTTGTAAACACGTTCCATCTGTATTATTTCATCTGTCCTCAACAAAAGTCTAAGCCCGAGTTCATACATGTGGTCTTTCAGTAACAACAACACAAACGCTGTTGATCGCTGGCTTGATACCCGTTGTAAATTGAAATATTGAAATACATGCAAGAGTCTGTCATGCTTATAGGTACACAAAGGAGTGAATGCGAAAGGCTTTCGACTCTGATATGGATAAGTAATGTAATAACAGATGTTCTGCCTCGCAAGAGATTGGTGGGTTGAGAGTGCTCATCTAAACACCATGCTTAGCATCACCACCAACCAAACTGTAAAGGGCTTCACTACGAGAGATCATGTCATATCGCGATATCAAGAGTCAACAAGAGCTTGGGGCCTTTTGTTTTATGTCCGTTTTTTTGGTATCTTATATTTTTCTATGTCTCAAAAGAAGCACCATCTAAACCACGAGCCAAATATCCTTCTTCATCATTAGGCCCTACCCCTAGTTGATCATCTATTCATTCTTCATCCTTCATCCTTCATCCTTCATCTCCACCTCAAGCAACATCATTCCCATCGTCCTCGCTCTCTTCTTATAGCTTTGTACTTCACTGCTGCGCGCCAGGACCAAAGCGAAGCTCACACTGGGGCAACGCGAGTTGCGGGACAGGGGCCTTCTTGGTGCGAGCCTTCTTCTTGGGTGCGGCACTGGTATCCTCACCCGCCTTGCGCTTGTTGTTTCCATTCTTGGTGTTATTGGTAGTGGCAGTGGCAGTAGTGGCAGTGGCAGTAGGGGCAGTAGTGGTGGCTGTCTGGTTCAGTACGTCAGGGTTCAGCAATACTCCCTCGGAAGCTCCATTAGTGGCGTTGTCTGGGCCCTGTGACTGCTAGTCGGGGTTGAAGACATCGTCCATATCACCAAACAGGTTGTTGTAAGGGTCTCGGGGGTGGAACTCGGGGCCTTGGGGAGGATGCAGAGGGAGCTCTTGAGTCTCTTGAGGTGCCACGACGGGAGAATAGGGCATATCTGCAAGGCTCACATTAGGTGCGGCAAGAGGCCAGGTTGTGTTGGGTTGCTGGGATGGGTTGACGGTTGAGGCAGGTCCAGTAGCAGGTGCGGATGTAGTAGCGTCAGAAGGGTTGAAGTCTGAACAACCAGCAACAGGGAACATAGTGGTGTTGTTACCATTAGAAGCGTTAGGGTCCCGAATGTTGTTTTCAGGGAGGTCTTCAAGACTGGCAAAGATGTTTGGAGGGACATCATCCGAAAAGGCCGGGATATCAGCTGGGGGCATGCCTTCGGTCACTCCCGCAGTCTGTCTGTTTACAGCATCGACGTCGATAGAAGGGTCTATTCCCGCAATAAGCATAAGAACACTGCGATCTGTGTAGTTCAACTCACCACCAGCACGGAATCGCTCAATGAGACGAACACGCTCAGCGTCCAGGTCTCGGTTGTATGGGTTGGGGACGTCAGCAACAAAGGCCGTAATATTAGTCTGCTCTGGGAGAGGTCGGTCGAGCTCGTTGGAGACCTTGCGCAGCTGGGTGCCTTGTTCATCGTCTTGGGGAAACATGGAGATTTCGTCAAACGGCACAGACCAAGTGTCCTTGTCTCCGAACGACAGGTCAGGTTGAGAGGTATCGGCGGAAATGTCTTGAACGAGGGCAGAAAGAGGGGGGTCGACAATAGAAGGCATGGAAGCATTGGCTTCAATCTGAGCTGGCTGGTCTTGAGAGGTGACAGCAGAAGCATCCTCAGAATGGTCATCATGAGGAGCATGAACCCATGCGGCAACAGCAGAAAGATCGAAATCAAGGGTTTTGGCAGCGCCAGAATCAGAGACGGGAGTCAATGGGGACTGGGAAGAGGCAGATTGTGAGGAGGTAGTTTGAGCAAAAGACTCAGTATCGAGGGGTAAGTCCTCGTAAGGGGTATTCCTAGCGTCAACAAACATGGGATCGAGGTCAGCAGGAATCTCAAAGCTTTGGTCGTTGGTGATGGTAAAGTCCTCAGTGGGCTGGAGGATGATATCGGAGGAGGAGTTGAAAGGTTGAGAAGTGAAGTCGTCGCTAAGTAGGTCGGCCATGAGTTGATCGTTGGTAGTTTGAGAAGTGAAGCTGCTGTCCTGAGTGAATTGAGGAGTCAAGTAACCGCCAGTGGTAGGTGGTTGAGTGATGCCAGTAGTGGATGGCTGGGTGGTCAAGTCACTGTCAAGAGTAACTTGAGGAGGGAAGAAGCTCATCGAAGGCTGCTGATTGAATGCGTTGCCGTCAGCAAATTGCGCAGGGAGGACAGTGTTAGTTTGGATAGTGAAGGGGTCGTTGGAAGCTTGAGCGATGAAACCGTTGTTCAGAGTAGGTTGAGTGCCGAGAGTAGTGGTAAGTTGAGCATCGCCAGCGACAGGAGTAGTAGAAGTAGTAGTAGTGCGCTTACGTCGCTTCTTGTTGACGATCTTCTCGGATGGGGGCTTGGGGACTCTAGCCTTCCTGGGAGTGCTTGGCTTCTTGGGAACCTTGGACTTCCTCGTCCTCTTTGTAGACTTGAAGTTCTCGATCGACTCGCCATTCTTGACAGCTGCATCGATCGCAGCCTTCTCAGCTCGAAACTCTGCCACCATTCTGTTGAGCTCATCGGCGTCGAGCTTCTTGGGTCCGGGGAGGTAGTAGACTATCAAGCATGGTCAGTATCGGTGATTCACAACAATAGCAAGAACAGGAAGAATGAAGCGAGAATCAAAACTTACTGTTGTAGTCATCACCCTCGGGTGTGATAAGCACACCACTTTCATCGTGAACCAATCGGGGATCTTCAGGATCGATGCGAACGACGCGGCGCTGGCTGGGGAAGATTCGCTCGCCGTTGTCCTCGGCCTTGCGAATCTTCTTTTCCTTTGGAGTAAGCTTCTTGGGTCCATCAGTGCGAGGAGGAGCAAAGAGACCAGGGGCATAGACGGACTCCTTGGACGAATCCTCGATGGATGCAAAGCCATTAGAAGAAGCCGGAGTAGAAGGCTCATCATCTGAAGAGTCCTCAGTAGGAGAAGTTTGGACAGTTGATGGCTGCTCAGGAAATAAGTCAGGGATGACGACCTCCAGACTTTCATTAACAAGGAAGTCTCCGAGGCTGTGTTGAGGAGGAAGAGGGGCATGAGGTCTGACATCCTGGGGTAGAAGACGTGCACGAGGGTTCATAACGAGGGAGGCAGGTTTCATCACTCTCGAGACTCTACCCAAGGTGCTGTTCCTCTGAGGCACAAGAGAATCTCGGCCAGACGACATGGAGCGTGGGTTGGCATTCAGGGCCTGAGAACCAGAGATCTCAGTAGTTGGAGACTCAGCAGCAGGAGACCGGGTAGCTACAGACTCATTTGTAGAGGTATCAGTGATAGGAGATTGAACAGCAAGGAACTGTACAATAGGATTCTGGGCAACAGAGGACGGTACAGGACGAGACTGGGTAGCAGAAACTTGAGTAGCAGGTGTTCCAGGAGTAGAAGCTCGAGGGCTAGGAACCTGAGTGGTAGGAGTCTGGTTTCGCTGTTGCATTCGCTGCTGCGTCTGAAGGGTTTGCTGCATCTGAAGGGCTGGTCCGTGTTGAGAGCTGGACTGGGCAGAAGACCCAGACTGTCGCATCATCATGCTGTTAATGATAGCTTCTTGCTTCTTGATTCGCATCTCCATCTGCTGCATGTGCGCGCGCATTTGAGGAGTCATGTTGGATTGCATGTTGGCCATGAGGGCACCACCCTGCTGAGGCATAGGGCTGTTCTGACCGGGAGTGAAGGAGGGAGCATTGGCGCGAAGACTAGACATGTGCTGAGCGAAACCCTGAGAGTTGCTCATGGCAGAAGCTTGTGTGTTGCTCATGAGGGGAGTCTGAACATTTCCCGTGGGTGGAGTAGGAAAGAAAAGAGGCTGCATGCTCGGGTCGTCCATGGAAGACATCTGAGCATCGCCCATGACAGAGTTCTGCATGTCGCCAAGGAACTGATTCTGGTTGGTGGGCATGAAGGGGGTCTGAGTCTGAGTGAAGCTCTCAAAGCTGGAGTTGCCCGAGGTCATGTCGGGAGCAGAAGAGGAGTTTTGGGCCCGCTGAGGGTTGAAGTGATGAGTTCCAACCACCATGGGGCTGCCAGAGTTGGTGTTGTTGTTTGCATTCTCAGAAGGAGAAGCGAAACCACCAGTCATCTGGTTGTGGCTCTGGTTCTGCTGCTGTGAAAAATGTTAGTCGTTTTTCATCTCATTTTGTGTGCACATGTGTATCATATGCGGAGAGATGATGACTTACCTGACGAGCAGCTCGCTGCTGGGTATTTCCCTGGGCCATATTGGCCATGTTGGGTTGACGAGAAGACATGATAGATATCGCTGCTTCAAGATGGAGAAGTATATCGCGAAAATGCTGCTGGTTGTGAAGATGCTTTGAGCGATCTTGGATCGTGGAGCTAAGTCGACAAGTGTAAAGTAGCTGAAAGCTGACGCAGGGATAAAATAATCAAGACTGCTAAGCAGAAAAGACTCAAGAAGTATGTAGAGTGAGGAGGGTATCTCGATGGATGAAGTGGTGTGTAAAGAGTAGAGAAGATGGAGGTTGCTGCAAAGAGAGCTGGTTGAGTCTCCACGACGCTCAAAGTCTTTCAGGTCTGTGTATTCTCACGAGAAGAAACAAGACTCGATAAACGAAGGCGAAGAGTGTAGAAATGAAGCTGATATCAGATTGTTGGAAGTTGCTATGAAGCTGTGTGCACGAAATCTGACGATGGTGAGGAGAGAAAGAAGAGGAGGAGAGCAAGTTGGAAGTGGAAACTTTTCTATCTATTCGAGTCCGAAGCTCGGCGCTACTAAAGTGCTTGCATGTTTGAATAGAGTGGTGGAGTTGGCAGTGCAAACGGCCGTCAAGGGCTGTCAAGGACCGACATGATGGCGTTTGGCCAGACCGGCAGCTGTTAACACTTGTAGACATTTCCGGGCGCTCTCCAAGCCGCTGAGATAGGTACTTGTTGAGAATCATGTTCCCCTTGATGTTGAGACATCGTGCTCATGCTGTTGACTGAGTATCGTGAAGTTGATGGTCTTGGTGTTGTTGAATCGTGGGCATATAGGGTTTTATACTACGAGATATCACTACATGTCAAAGCACAATGACCAAACTACTCCTTTCACCTCTTGACAAGAGATCATTCAACTCGTTGCTGTCAATAGATAAAATAATCTGCAAGTATCTCGACTCAATGGTGTTGAGTTGCTCCTCATTGTACCGGCACTTACATCCGCTCTCAGTTATCGGCCCTTTGATATTGTCGGCCAACGGCAACGCTTTCAACTATTGTTCCTGCGCTCAATAGAGCTGTACGAGGTGGCCCTAGCTCCTTCAAAGTGGGCCTGAGTTGCTGAGCGCTTCGCATGCTAAATCGTTGCTACCTATCGTATTGTGTGCATTTCATTGTATCCAACGGCGACACTGTAACCGCGGCAAAGACAGCACAACTCTTCGTAGAGGGAACTCGCAAGCGTACGGTATCTCCTGAAATTGATGAAACAACTGCAAGTGATCATTTGTTAGAATTATCACGAGTTTACGGCATTGTGCGTCATGGTTCTGTGGTACAGTGTCAGCGGCTGGCAGAATTAGAGACGGCATTCACAAGCAACCTACAGCTCAGCCCCCACTGACTACCCGTGGCCGTCATCAGCGCACGTCAAGAAGAGCTTGCATATCCTTGTCGAGCTGTATCAATTTACATAGAGTGGTTGCAGGAATATTAGTGGGGTTGGATGACTGGCCCAAAGCCAAGTAATATTATCTATATGTATCCGTACACCCAAGACAAATGAAAAACCACCTTACGATTCCCTTTGATTTCTTCTTGTTTTCAGGATTCGCCATTTCAAACAAACCAACTGCATTGTGACCTGCCTGGGTGCCCAAAATGCATCGAACTACCCGGAGGTTGGTATTCAATAAACATATGATCAACGCCCTCTTAAGCAACTTCCTGGACCATCTTACCCGGTGCCATTTCAGATGCAGGCTTGAACACCTGACCGGCCGGGCTATCAAGCATCTCTTCTGTTACTGCCACCCGAACGCCATTTTTGTTGCTGACCCAACGAATGAAGACAGGATCAGGCTTGTTCGAGTCTTCCGAACCGCCGCCTGCACCGGCAGCTGCAGCTTTGCGGTTGATCTTGGGGGCTTGCTTCTTGAGAAGTTTGTTGATCGTCTCCATCTGTAATCTAGTGTCAGGACTCATTCCCGTTTTTTGTTAAATTCAATTTTAATCTTACCTTCACTTCCTCATTTCGCTTTTCACTCAAGTTGCGGCGTCGTCGAGCCATCTCTTGTCGACGCATGGACAATTCTTCAGCTGTAAAAACCTTCTTCGCTTGTACCTCTGCGAGCATCGATTAGTATTGCCCATGTAGGCATAAGTAGTAAACTCACCATCTGACAGCTTCATATACTGATGTGCGTTGTCATCTTCGAATCGAGCTCGTTGCCGCTTTGTCATCTTGGTGAGATCGATAGATTCGTCTGGGTTACCATCCTCGTCATCTTCGTCGTCGTCATCGCCTCCTTCACCTTCATCCTCTTCCTCATCCTCTTCCTCTTCATCATCCTCATCTCCTTCTTGGCCAGCGACTTCAATCTCCTCGCCTTCAGCGTCCTCATCGCCATCGTCAGCCATGGTCTCATCACCAAAACCCATGGTCTCGTCTCCAGCGTCGCTATCAGCGGGGTCACTGAGATCATCATCGTCATCGTCATCATCCTGAATGACCTTAGCAGCCGATGCTCGAGGCGCTGGCCTCGACCGGGCTGGTTTGGAAACAGTGATGGTCGGGGGAGCTAGATCCATGTCGATGTCTCCCTCAGCGTCCTCCTCACCCTCAGCATCAACATCCATCTCATCGTCATCATCTTCCTCCACCTCAATCTCTGCCTCCTCTTCCTCTTCTTCATCTTCGTCGGGGCTTGAGTCAACCACATAACTTTTCTTAGCTCCTCGATTTCGCTTTCCAGATACAATTTCTCCACCTTCAAAGCCACGCTCCCCGCGTGTAGCCTGTCGTAGTTTGTTGGAAGGAAGTTTGACGGTCAAACTCAAATGACGATCGCCACCTGGTGATGAGGCATCATCTCGGGAGACGGACACGCCTGAGGCGCGACCAGATCGTCGTGACGACATGCTTCTTTCGCTTCTTTCTGGAGAGTCAGCCCATCTGGCATGAACAGAAATGACTTCGTTGGCCTTGGTGGCCGCTGAGCGACGTGGACGCGAACTCATGATGATAGATGTCCGCGCTGGCGGGGCCTGAGAACGATGGGTAGAAACAAGATAAGGAAGATGGGAAATTATTAGTGGTATGCGAAGTGACGGGAGGGTGGTATTTGTATCAGGATAGAGTTCAAAGAGTCCTAGGGTCCCAGGAAAGATCGCGAAAACTTAAATATGTGAAGTGAAATGAGTTGGATGACAGAAAAGAAAAGTGATTGGAAGACAAGTTTGGAGTGTTTGGTGTTGACAAGGCTGAAATAAGCTCAATTCGTTGGGGCAAGCAAGACTGGAGTGAGACGGCAGGAGCCAAGAGCCACCTAATGAGGGATTGGCTGGAAGAAGAGGCAGGGCCACGGCAGGACAGGGAAAGTACAGTTCGGATGTTGGTGGCGATTGCCGTTGGCGAGATATGACAGGATAGGCTGAAGTCTGGACTTTTGTAGTGTAGGTAGTGTCGGTGACGACCCTTCATTGGTGAAAAGACGACCTGAGCTTGAAGTTGAAGGATGCGAGGCTGAAGATAAACGGCCAACTAATGCAATTTGTCCTGCAACCAGTCAAGCCAATCAATCAATCAATCGACCAACCAGGGACTGACTACCTAACTACGTGAGACCTCTCGTCTGTGGTTACCACTGAATCAGGGATTCCTATAAGCGGGATCCTGCACGTGGCTGAGGATCATCGGCCAGGCCAGTCCAGGAATATCCTAATCCTATGACAGACAAACTGCCGATGTCAAAGGCCAATACAGGATAGCTTAGGAGAGAAGCTTATCCTCATCGGTTGCATTGAGGGAATTGGCGAAAGCCACGAAAAGGATTACAAAGATGGACGGGACTGGGTTGACGGAATTGGTGTTGTTTTGCTGCGAACAAGCAAAGGGAGACAAACAACCAAGAGGAAATTTCACAACTCACTTGTTACAAAGTTTGAATGCCTGGTATTGGTCACACCACACCAGCTTGTCGCTGATTAACTTTAGCTTGCTTGCTCTTTAAACAGCCAGCAGTTGGTAATTGGGTTTTAGCCGCTTCCAATCGCCTCACCTCGAGCAGGGTCTGACTGAGCCAAGAACTGGAGAGCCAAGCGCAATCGCTATTCCCAGGGCACAAGCACAAGTTGCTCAACTTGTTGGGACCGACGGACGATGCAGTACGAGGCTCGTGAGACGAGCGCCGTTACACGTTGTTTGTGTCCTGCTCCTGGCGGTAGAATTGCCTGCCGCGATGAGATTAGCTGATAGGAGATGATGGCGCTGAATCTTTTTGGCGCAAGAACTTGATAGCGCGTTTCCGGTGTCTTGAGTAGAACGTAAAAAGGTAGTGCCGAATCAGCTTTCCAATTATTGAGGACTCTAGGCGTTCAACGAGGTCTTTGAGGGTATAGGCGATCGTTCACTCAGGATATTGTCTGGAATTGATGTTCTCGGGTGAATGCGCGTTCGAGCCATGCTACCGTTTAGTACGATCCCGTTCTATTTCCAATAACGGCTCCAGTATTAAACGGAGGGGATACGGTAACGTATCCCATAGGTCTGATTTGTTCACCGGAATCAACGCGTATCAACATAGGCTTCTTGGACAGTTCATAGCGAGCAAAGCTTTGCGAGTAGAATTTACAAGTATATCTTTTCTAACTGAAGAATTTGACTTGATGCAGGTACGTTCTTCAATATCATGCTTACATGCACAATCAAATGCTGTCTCCTCCCCACAAGAAACCCCAGACTAAGGTAGACTCCACCGTTATCGGTAGGAGTACCGAGGCATGTGCCTACCTCGCCGAACCTTGCCTACGCCTCGGAAACCATAAACATTTCCCTTCCATCCTCTATTTCAACGCTTTCGTCAACCTCTCAGCATTATAACCAGTCGCGTGATACTATCCAACATGAGCGACTCGGATTCCAATCCCGCCATCCCAAGCTGGCAGAAGGCGCAATCCGACGAGACCGATAGTCAAAACACCGAACCGACGCCGACACCATCCACGAGCAGCTCAACATCAGAAGTTGATGCGCCAGCGGTGGAAACAACAGCAGAAGAGACATCACAGCCGGAGATTGTGACGGACGATCAAGACAGACTCGAGGTTGCGAGACGCTTTCTCGAGAATGACGCTGTGCGACACGCGCCTCATGAGAAGAAGGTCGAGTTCTTGAAGTCCAAAGGCATTGGCGAAGCCGAAATACACGCGCTTCTTGGCCAAGACGAGTCCACAACAGAGACAGAGGTTTTTATTACTTCTCATCTTGCCCCCAAGTACTATACTGACAATTTCAAGGCAGCAACTCCAGAAACAACCAATTCTTATGCTCCAACACCCACCGAAACTCTCCCCCCAACACCAGCTTCCCATCCGCCCGTCGACCGACCCCCAGTCGTCACTTATCCTGAATTTCTCGCGAAGGCACCCCGTCCTCCTCCTCTCGTTACAAAGGAGCGCCTTTTCAACGCCCTCTACGCAGTCACTGGCCTTTCCACCCTCGTCTACGGCACAAGCCGCTACGTCATTCGGCCTATGGTCGACAGCCAAGCCGAAGCCCGTACAGATTTCCACGGCCTGACCTCGCGAAAACTCGATGCCCTCGTCGCAAAGCTTGAAAGGACCGTCTCCGAGGTCCCACCCAAGAAACCCATCGCTGCAGTCGAGGAAGAGAGCGATGCTGAAGACCCTACAGAGATGTTCCACAGGGACATGGGCACTCAAACCACATTCCCCATAAGCTCTGTAACAGCTATGACAGACTCCAAGAGTAATGAGTCAGCTGCCAACCATAACACCAATCAACTTGCCAGTCTGAACAAGACACTTTCTGGCCTGAAGGATGAATACCGTTCCCAGAGCGAAGGCATGGATAAGATCAAAACTGCTGTTGATGTGCTACGGGATGACCTCGACACAATGACGTACACTGCCTATCCCGATCACAGTACTGGCTATGATTTGTATGGCCGCTCACGCAAACCCGAGCCAGATGATGAAATCCGCAAGGTGCGGGATAACATCCGGCGTGTGAAGGGAGTCTTGCTAAGCACGAGAAACTTCCCTGCCTCAGCACGATGATTTGTTTCTGAAATCAGGTTCTAAAAACCGTTAATTCATATCATTTGTGTCGCTCTCGGAAAAGCTTCCATAATGTACATTTAGTCTTTACAGTACCCCATCGTCATACATAACCATGCCAATATACCCCTACACATCCTTGATGGTATCATGCATAAATGAACTCCTCCACGCGGCATGGCCTAGGTATCTGTCTCCTTGGCTTTCTTCTCTGAGCCCATATCAGATCGCTGAGGGTCTTCAATTGAATGTTTCGAGAAAAAGGCTGGCCACGGCATAATCCTAATATGCTCGAAACCACGGCCTTCTTCTACCTGCTCATCGTACCAGTCCAGAGTTGGTCTGAAAACGAAATCCATCATCCTTCCGTGGTATCCTTCACTCCTTTTATTTGCGCAGTGCATAAAGAGGCGGTTTTTGCACTTGGTCGGTCGGTCCATATTCTTCCCACGAGGAGCGTGAAAGACAATCTTCAGGTCCTCGTCTGCCACATCATGTGTATCTGTGGGCTCATCAATGTCCATTGGCTCTGAAGAGTCTAGCGGTGATCTGATGGGCGCATTACCTGGTTTGACTTCCCTCCATCCTCGAGATACCATTTTTGGCGTTCCGGCTGGAATAGATACCTTCAGATTCTCCATAAGATGCCGAAGGTGGTGGAGAGTGATGTCGACAGGGTCAGTAAGCCCCTGCGGAATCTCATCTAGTCCCCTAATCCATACTCTCACCAGGGGCAATGCGTTATGGGACTCTCCTGCAAGCCGTATCATTTCGCGTTGTGCTTCAATTAGTTCCCCATCGTAAATATCTGAATCCTTGTCCGGCATTTTCATGACAGGGTCCCATATTATCAACTCCATTCCACGCCATGGCTTCCTGAACACCTCAATAGGTCTGTATGCAACAATCCACGGCCGTCGGTTCTTGTTTGTGGCCTCTCGATTGTCGCCATAATTCCAGGATCCTTCAATCGTGTAGCAGAAGGCCACACCAGTATTGAGAAAGCTGCCGCCATGGATCTTTCTACTGAAATAGCCAAGACATCTATCGTATGTTTCAAACCCGTCATGAGACTCGGAAAGATCACGTGCCATATCTGCATTCCAGTAAGAGACGGGGCAGGTGAAGACTGTCTGCGGGCCCCATTGCCTCTCCCGAATACTGTTTTCTAGTTGTCCTAGGAATTGCCTGAACGATACAGCGTCATCGCGAGGGATTGTTTGGAGTCTTTCCCGAAAAGCTGTCCCCGCAGCTGTTTGATTCTGCGCGACTAGGGAGGAGCCGGTAGGGTTAACTTTGCCATAAATATCGTCTGGGTTACCCAAAGTTGAGGGAGTATATTGGGGGATCTGGATCCGTTGAGTGAGTCTCTGAATGCCAGCATTAGGGCTCGATCCGAGCGCGGTGAAATGCCGATACTGGTCTAAATTCAGGATAGACCACCACCCAAACCAGTTGACAAGACTCTGCTCATCGTTGCCGTCAATCGTATCAGGGGCGAACACCAGAGCCAGCTGGTCATCGTCTGAAAGTGCTCTTATCTGTGTAACGTGGTTCCAGCACTTATAAAGAGCATCAATTTCTTTCTCGGCTGTCGCTTTGTCCTCTTCGCGTACTCGGGTCCTTTCTGAATACGTCTCCCAGTCTTTTTTCACCTCAACAGCGACCTCGAGAAGCCATTTCTCAAACTCGGCACAAACGACCAGCCGAAAATCATCGCGATGTTGCTGCCAATATTTGTAAGCCCACTTGAAGAACGCCCAGGCCTGCTGGGGCTGTGAGATAACAAAACTGGGAGTGACTAGCACAACTTTCCTTTGCCCGCAGATAGTTTGCAGAGTGACATCCCCGATCCGGCATGGTTGGCCGAGAGAGGGATAAAAGGGTGAAGGTTGCAGAGATATGGAAAAGAGGCGGAAATTGAAGTTTGGCACATTGTGAAGGAGAGTCCAAACTGAAGGAAACAGTCGTGTGGCCCACATTGCTTCTTCATGCACGATGACCACGCCCTGGTCTAGCTTCCTGAAGCTAGCCCAGTGTCCAGAAGTGAGGCTAGATAGTAACCTGCACTGAGGGTTGCAACTTCGCAGCCATCCGCTCAGAAAGTGAGCTTCTTCCACAGCATTCGTGGGAAATACTAGGAAGAAGTTATGGTTACTATAATCCATAAGGGCCTTTTCTGGCAGTAATTGCTCATACTGGAATCCCAAAAGCCGGTTGAAAACCGTCGGTATCATTTGTGGCAGGACATCGCCACTACCAAGGCCCTCTGGAAGTACAATTGGCGCAAGCGAGCGCGTTGTCAGGTGAGGAGAAGGCCGAAACAAGTAATAATGTAGCAAGGCAGACTCTTGGGACGATGCATATACGAAGATGCACAGTTCTTGGTGGTATAGGAGAACCCCCACAGACCTTACACAGAGCCAATTCGCAACTATAGCCAAGCTTTCTGGATCACCATTGCTTGTCACTGAGCCGGTGCCCAGCTTAGCAGCAGCCAGGGCGGTCTCTCGAGACCAGAAATCCTGCGTCATGCAAGAGTGCGTGAAAATCAATATGGGGTGCTGTTCAAAGATACCTGACCAAGGCTGACCATTCTGATCTTCGCCTCTTTCAAAAACAACCGAAAATGTTTCCCGACTTCCTGGGCCAAACTGTACCTCCGTGGTGATGGATTTATTAGAAGAATATGCATCACCATTCATAACGGGGGCACTCCCAGCCCAACATTCTTGGTTGTTTGAAGCCTTTGTTTGGAAGGTCGACTCAGATTGTGAGTCGGTGCTTGTCTCGGTTTCGCGAGGGTCGTCTTCTATCTTGATCGATGTCGTCGCTCGAATGAGAGAATCCTCGCGAATGAAGAGACTTTGCTCTCGCTCTCCACGGGCGGGTATCGTTGCCTCTTCAACGGTGCCCCAACTAATTGACTTCTTGGGCTTTGGCTTCGGGGCCTCGGGAGTGACTTCAGCAGAGTTCCTATTTTGTCGGATAGGTTTGAGTGTTTCATTCAAAATTTCGGGACGTGACGGTAAGGTACTCAGACTGTCGGCAGATCGCTCTGCTGGGTTTAGAGAGATGAGGTCTGTCGGTAATCTTGCAGGTGCAGCGCTTTCTCTGTCGCGGCCTGCTTTCTGGATGATCCTCACATATCGTGGCTTCAAAAGTTTCGACTGTTTGGTGGAATCTTTAGCAGCCTCGGCGAGGGTTGTGCGCGGCTTTCTCACTGTGCCCCCGGAAAATACGTTTCCAGTGAAGGCTTGCGCGTGCCGGGTCTTGCGGGCCTTCGTCGGTTGCCCCTTGCGTAGGTGAGTATCGGTGCGCTTTATCGGTCCACGAACGCCGAACTTTGATGACAAAAGATTGCTTGAAGACACTGGCTTTTGTGGCGGCCTCTTATTATCAGCAAGAACTTTGCTCGGTTGCCGCTGCAGCGGTGGTTTCTGACTGGTTGAGGATGCGGATGAGATTGTCGTTGTAGTCGCTGCTGAGTTCATTGGCGGTCGTGGTTGCTGATGGACAGATGCTGCACTGTTCCGACGGCTGCTTCTTGGCGAATTATTCTCACTGAAACTTGCGGAAGATATTTGCGGTTTGTCGACAGAATGTTGTGACAGCTGTCCTGTCTCATCATCCATATCAATGTCTGTGATTACAGACGGACTAGAGACGACAGAACCACTGGGCTCTTCGCCATCTGGAAATCGATCGGCCCATTTCAGATGATCTTCCATCTCTGTGAACGAGGTTTCCTCTTCGCCTCGCAGCCTTCTGCGCCGATTCCTTTCTTGGTGGCGGTCGAGCTTGGCAGCATATTTGGACTTGACGGCATTCTTCCAATCTCGAATGTTCTTGAACATGTCAAAATCTTCCCGCGATTTTGTTTTCTCCCAACCTTCGAAGAGGGCATCACTCAGGTTTTCTGCGGGCTCCCAGGTTGCCTCGCACAAATCAAAATTCTCCCATTCGATGAGATATCGTGGCAGGCCATTAATAGGCCATTCGGCCAATATTTCGTTCACGTTCCATTCTTCATCAGAGTCGTGTTCACTGACGATGGTGGAGACTATTGATTCACTATCGGAGTCATCCATGTTGACGTCTTTTGGCGTATGCTTTTCATGTGTATCATAAGGTTCAACCACCAACAGCCTTTCTCAGTCTTGAAATAATTGAAGTCAGCCATAGTTTTGCAATGAAAAAGGTAGTCAAACTCACTGAGGGGCACGATTGAGTTTGTTTTCTAGTGAATAGAGTTGGTTGGAGATTTCGTGAGTTTGTTTTTTATTGACACCTTAGCTTGATGAATGCACTGCCAAATTTGGAAGGCAAATCTGATTTCGGTGAATGGTGGTGAAGTAAGGGAGTGATTATGGAAATGACAGGCTGGTCTTGATCTCTTCTTTTCTCCTTTCCCTAACATTCAGCTAGAGCTTCACTCAGGCTGGGCGCGTGTGGGACTGGCTTGGCCTGGGCTCCTCGGAAGGTCGCGAGATCACGTGAGTGGCGCTTGGTTCATTGGTGCCTGTTTATCTCTTACCCAAGGTACGGGCATCAAAAGCTGAATGAATACCTACCTCATTAATTTACGCCTTGGGTATTAAAATATTTGCATGGGTAAGGTACCTACCTCAGATAATGGGCAACTATCTTACACTCCGATGATGGATGTGTCAGCTCTAAACCGTTGGTCCCTCCTTTTCATGTGCACTGCTCTTGCTTGTCCGGGACGCCTAACCTAGACCCCAACTTCAACGAGACCGTCCCTCTGTTTTGTGACTTTGAACGTCTAATGACGGCATTAAATCTTATTCGAAACGTCCATAAGGCCTACTGATTGAATTCTCAGTATAGTCATTGTCCATGAACAAGTGTTGGCTTTAAATTATCGAAAAATTGCCAAGATTGTTGCTTGTAGTATTTAACTACACACATAATAATCCAGTACAGCACACAGCTAGATAGACTTATTCCTTACATCGATCACCACATGACTTTTAAGGTCAAGAAAGACTGGTGAAAAAAAACCGAGGTACCTTGGCTCCGTAAAAGCATCATGGTTGCAAAGTGACCTGATGACATGCTCTAGTGGATAACTAAGCGATTGTGACTATAAGGGGCTTGCCAGCAGAAGAAAGAGGGAAACGACCAGGTTACAAGAATGTGCATTAAGACTACAACATTGTGATATGCGACCAGGTTTGTTAGGAGCCTCAGGGTAAAAATAGTTGCTGCGTACCTGAAAGCGGTCAGTGATCAATTTGTAGGTTGCAACGGGAGCGACATTGATGTAGTTAGTCCTATCCCAGGCAACCTAATAAAACCCAACCAAACGGATATGTGCTCTGAAGAGATATAGATGATGCAGCCATCCATCTAGTACATCATGCGGTTACTAGTCCTGGCCTGTCACATCAGAATGTGTCCGGATTCGGTGGCTGGCAATTACATCTACGACTTGAAACTTCCTTTATCGTTGCCTATTCCATCCATTGACTTAGCAAATTACACACTAGGTAGCTCTGACCAACAATCGACTCAAGAACAGCCATTTTTGGGGACAGGTTGCATTCCCTTGGTATTTATACTGGAACCTAGCAGTGATGCGAACAGCGCTACCTTAGTTAGAGTCTAGAGGTACCCTACTTTCGCTACCTGGCCGCGGTGGCAGAGTGGGTGTCTGTGCGACCGCTAGGTGACTACCTCCACTAACAAAGAGGCACCGAATCCTAGGCTCTCCCCCCCCTACCTAGAAGCATAGGTAGCTCCAGTTAGAATTTAGCCCAGCGAGCCCAGTCTTTACCCCTCGGCACGGGGACTGGACGTCGAGGTACAAACAACCGCCTATCGCCAGAGCCGCGCATTCTCTCCCTCTCCACATCCCACACCTCAACGACGTCGACTTGTCTTTCTCGCAGCGCCAGCGCACTCGCCTTCAACCTCATCCTCATCTTCGATTCACCAACTTGGCTTTTCTCAGTAATATACCTGAAGCAACACCACCGTAGTCATGGCCAACGACGAGTATGATGTACGTCTTGTTCCCCCTCCCTACCCTCCTTAGCCTTTCATGTCCCGCCAGTTGCTGACCAGTGGGCCCCCTTTGCAGTTCCTCTTCAAAGGTGCCGTCATTACCATCTCTCAAAGGCCACGCCTGGCCCGACGTTTGCGATCGCCCCTTACTAACATTGTGAACCTGCAGTCGTCCTGATCGGAGACTCTGGAGTCGGAAAATCCAACCTTCTCAGTCGATTCACTCGCAATGAGTTCAACCTAGACTCAAAGTCGACCATTGGTGTCGAGTTCGCCACCAGATCCATCCAGGTCGACTCGAAGACAATCAAGGCCCAGATTTGGGATACCGCTGGTCAAGAGCGATACCGCGCCATCACTTCCGCCTACTACCGAGGTGCTGTCGGCGCTCTTCTCGTTTACGACATCAGCAAGCATCAGACCTACGAGAACGTCACACGATGGCTCAAGGAGTTGCGGGACCATGCCGACGCCAACATTGTCATTATGTTGGTTGGAAACAAGAGCGATTTGCGACACCTGAGAGCTGTTCCCACTGAGGAGGCCAAATCTTTTGCTAGTACGAAAATCTCAGTGAACTTGATACAGGAGGGTCCCTCTTATTGACACTTTTGCAGGCGAGAACCACCTGTCTTTTATTGAGACGTCTGCCCTTGATGCCAGCAATGTCGAGCTTGCATTCCAGAACATTCTGACCGGTTCGTTATCTGTCCAATTCCTCAACATCTGTAGCTTGAACTGACACTATGGCCAGAAATCTATCGCATTGTTTCAAGCAAGGCCCTCGACAGCGGTGACAGCGCCCAGGCCACCATAGGCGCAGGCACCAATATCTCTCTCAGCAAGCCTGCCGACGACGATGCTGCCAAGGGCGGAAAGTGCTGTTAAATTTCTCGCAGAGCCGTTTGCAGACGGATATAGGGCTCGGGGGGTTTGGGATACCTGGCGTCTCGTTTGTCCCCGGAAATGCTCCTCGCTAAAGGAGAGTGGAGGAGGCGAGGAATCGTGATACGTCTTTTTTGATATCAGAAGGCGCGGTTACTTCGGCTTTCCTTTGTTCTTATTTTTTGTCATGATGGTTGTCTTGGGGTTGATGCGTCCAACGATCGCTGCGACATGGTCATCTTAACGTAGCTGAATGAATTCTTTATAATGTTCGCCCTCTAATGAGCTGTACCTCCTGCACCACCTCGCTTGTACCGCATTCGAGTTAAACGCCACAATCTGTGTACGCCTCCACGTCATGCTGATCAGATCCGACAGGACGTGAACAGGTACTGGCCTGGTGGGTGAATAGGTATCGAATTGATTAGCTAGTGCACAGCTCGTTCTCAGGGTCTTTAGACAGCGGGGCATTTCTCATCACATGCAGTTCCTAACTATGACTTGATATTTTTCTGGCTCTGATGAACTAAAAGACGGGCTATCTATCTAGGCACGATTCAATAATACCCGATCTACTCTACGTACCCTCATCTCACGCAATGCATTCCTACGGTTTAGATCAAAGCTTTCTGAGTGGCTCTGCTCCAAAAAACATGTGCTACTGCATGTCCCCTTAACTTTAGAGGCCCCCCCCCTGGCACGGCTTGTCTCGACTGCTAGAGCGGTGTCGCGGCCCCACCTAAATACGTCCAGCACCCCCACTCTCTTATCGCGACCTTTCAAGTCTTATCAAGTCTCAGCCGACCAAATTTTTTTGGAAAATTGTCCGCCGCGTCGCAAAGCCTGGTCCAGTAAAATCATCACCAAGTCAACACAGCTTTTTCGATAACCGATCTTAATCGCAACGTCGAGATTCATTCAAAATGGCTGCTGTCTATAAGTCTATCTCTAAATCAAGCACTACAAAGGCCGAGGCGCCCAGCAATGGCGTCAAGAAGAACAAGCAGAGGGTTCTGATCCTCTCTTCCAGAGGCGTCACTTACCGGTAGGAAACCCCACGACTCTCGGATGCAGAGCGCATTCCACTGACATTGCTATTATTCTAAAGACATCGCCATCTTCTAAACGACATTGCGGCAATGCTCCCCCACAGCCGAAAAGATGCCAAATTTGACTCCAAGACAAAGCTGTACGAACTGAACGAGTTGGCCGAGCTTTACAACTGCAACAACGTGCTCTTCTTCGAGGCCAGAAAGGGAAAGGATCTCTATGTTTGGCTCAGCAAAGTCCCTAACGGACCTACCATCAAGTTCCACCTCCAGAACTGTAAGACTTGACACCGAACGATGATTTTACCCAGGCTAACAACGAACAGTGCACACAATGGAGGAACTTCACTTCACCGGCAACTGTCTCAAGGGATCGCGGCCCGTCCTCTCCTTCGACGGCGCTTTCGACAAGCAGCCTCACCTCCGAGTGATCAAGGAGCTCTTCCTCCACACCTTCGGTGTTCCCCAGGGCGCCAGAAAATCCAAGCCTTTTATCGACCACGTTATGGGATTTAGCTTTGTCGATGGCAAGATCTGGATTCGCAACTATCAAATCAATGAGGTCGAGGCGACAGCCAAGGAGGGTGAGGACGAGGAAGAGACAACCAAGTCTCGATCCGGCAAGCCTGATACTGATATCAACCTGGTCGAGATCGGCCCCCGATTCGTCCTGACACCGATTGTGATCCAGGAAGGCTCTTTCGGTGGACCTATTATCTATGAGAACAAGGAATTTGTGTCACCAAACCAGGTCCGAGCCGATATTCGAAGGACCAAGGCCTCGCGACACAACGCCCGCGCAGAGAAAGAGGTGGAGAGACGGGTCAGGAAGGGCGACCTCGGATTGCGATCTGTTGGCGGTCAGCGACCGGCCAAGGACGAGCTAGATACCAAGATGCTGTTCGCCTAGACTTTTTGATACCATACCTTACCTGTCGATATAACCAAGTACTTACTGGCTTGATCCATTGGGTCTGAACACCGGGACGGGGTGTTGGAGTTTTAGGTCATACTGCGTTTTTATTTGCCCAAAGAAAGAATATTATACTTTAGTGACCGACCGCTAACGTTGCTGTTCGTCTTATTTTGTCCTCCCTGATTGTGTTTCCCTGGTCACTCACTACCTGAGGTTGTCAGTTCCTGACGACATCGCATCATCACTTCGCCCGTTCGGATGAAATTCGGTAGATTGTTATCAGTACGCGACCCAAGTCGCGACTTTGTCATAGCCTATATCAGTCCTCCCCCTTTCCTTCTTCATCCTCATCCTCACTGTATTTTCAATCAGTGCATATTGCAGACGAGCATTGCACTTGAATACAGCCATGAGAATCACATTTACTCAAATACCGATGCCTGTGTGCATCTCTACTTCTGTCTCAAGCCCCAGCGCCGGGGTGGCTGAACAATAAGGCCCGTATCATTGACGCTTTAGGTGACTCAACAGCGAGATACCTTGAAGCGACGAGAGCCAGACTGCTCTTATAACAACACTTTTCTCATATCAGCTCTCTCCCAGTGAAGACGAGTACAATCTGAGGATACAGCGACTTGGTGTTTTTGAACCTCAGCTCCTCTACAACGTGTGTCACAACACAATTACAAATAAACAAAATGCAAAGTCTACCAGGCCCGTTCTTTTCTTCCACTTTCCAGGCATTATTTTATGTCTAACTTTCTCATAGCACCCGTCAGATTGACGATCTTGGTTCTGTAGCGAGACTGTATAATCACGTACGTGGTGTACAGACGAGGACCGTCGTTGTCGTCTTTACCTTCAGATATTTTTCCATCCCAAAACCCAACTCTTTACAATTTAACCAAATATCTTTCCCATCTATCCCCAAACCCTTCAAATCAGACGTGCGACCATTGTGACGTCTATAAACATGGCACCAAAAATGCCAAAAAGCCATCACCTGACTGGGCTTCCTAATGAGATCCTTTTGGACATCTATCAACAACTAGACCTGGACGGTGTTTTCAACCTTTGCGCCACCCACAGGGCTTTCCATGAACTCTTTAACAAGAGGAAGGCCTCGATCTTACTTCCTGTCCTTGTCAGAGAGTTCAGTCCGTTTGATGAGCTCCTTCAGGTTTATACGGCTTCAGTTGAGGATCTTGATTCCCGCGGTGGACTGTATGCTCCGCGCAGAGTCGTGTTCAAACGATTCCTTGGAGACACTGGAACGGTGCTAGCTCCGCGTTCAGAGCATCAACCTGCTGCATCAGCGGACGTTGTGGACGGCTTCATCACTCTGAACAAGCCAGGCAAACCTATCATACCCCACGCTCAACCTCTGAAAACCGTTGTTTTGACCGAGAACGATCTGAAGCCGCTTCTTGGCTACTGTTCCCTTGTGCTGAGATGGCAAGCTAGATTCCCTCAGATGAGATGGTTCCATGAGCCCGAAAACTGTCGACTGCTTCGCGAACACGAGGCCGAGAGGTTCCGCAGAGCCATGTATCGATGGTGGCTCTATGGCTTCTACTTTCACGGAGACTTCCCCCGACCTCGTGTTGGTCTTCCAGAGCCTGGCGTGGATGACGTTAGACTAAGTCAACTTCGATTATACTCTACAGGCGAGCTGGTAGAGCTGATGGACCTGGTCGAAACCATGAAGGATGTCGTCCTCCACTATCTGTGTCCGCGGCTTGACCCTAGTCAAGGCGAATATGTGAGTTTGCACTAAGACTTTATGGCTTATTACTGACATGCCATTAGGAGGACTGCGATTCGTATCTCTTTGATGTTGCCGACCGACCTGAATCCCTGGCAAGAGGCTGGCGGGATCAGAGCCGTTGGGGCCGTATTGTAAAGACCTACTGCAAACTCGGCCCCAAAGATCTTATGCATTTATTTGAGAACATCTATAGCTATCCTCGAAAACGTCTTATCACGGAAGCTCGGTCCCTTCAGCCAAATCTCACTTTCGACCAAGAATCTATCTCGGTGTCAACGCAGTGTGTCCTGGATGAGCGACAGTGGTCGTTGAATATGCCTACTTTGCCTCTGGATGGCCTAGGAGGTGTGATTGACTGGGATGATGAGCGCGACGCTGAACGTGTCAAGTTTGGAAGTGATGCCAGTCTGGATGGGACATTGCCAGGAGGAGCTCGGATGCTTCGGCCTTCATCTCACTACTCGCCTCGTGGGGATGACGGATCTTATCTGGAGGATGTCCAGCGACAGACATGGATCGAGGGCAGGTATACGGTTTCGTTTGCTTAGGCCTCAGTGTTGTCAATAGATATGCTGTCGTTTGTTAGTTAATGATAGAGTATCTGGATTGTTGTAGTATTTGTAGGGGCACTGCACATGGATCGTCTGATGTGATCGAAACTTGGTTCAAGGTTTCTCATTTAGATAAACCCTAGATTCCCTGCTTGAGTAACTATCCATAGCGTCTCTTGAATCGCCCAGATGCACCTGGTTCTCACCAATGCATTAACCAGTCGACCGTGAATCACTGTCAGTAGATTACTCTTTGTAGTAGCTGGTGATAATGTGTATAACTAGTTAGGAGAGATATTTGATCAAGATCGTAGTCCAACCCAATGATTCATGATCAGCAAATACCTGAGGAACAACGCCCTTTCTATTCAATAAAGAAATTATCAACTGTTTGCGGCCAAGCAGGAGCCCCCACTGTCGGCCGCGGGTCACTCAGTGGCCAGTAGCGCCTGAAACCATAGGGGAGCCCGCGCGCCAAAATAAACCTCCACAGCTGAGCCTCACTTCTCCTTCCACTCTCATACATCTAATCTCAGAGCTAATATCAACCACCGCGATTAAACCTGATCGCGCATCTCAACCCACCACTCAGCATTGGATTTACTCATATCTCAGTTCTCTTCAACCCTCTCGTAATACACTAGCGTATGCTGTCACGTCTTCACAACCTCTCCTCGCTATTGCGATCGCGCCATACTTAGCAGGGGTAAGTGAAGTGTTTTGTTCGTGTTGGCATCATCATCTTTCACATCCTTTTATGTGTTTTGATGCACTCGGTTCCGTACACTTAGACAGGATGCTCTTGTGAAAACAATAGCCAGCCGTGTATCGTTTTGGCTCATGTAATTCACTTCGCTAATACGCAACTTACCTTTGTTCTCGAGTACCTCCTTTGTTTTCCCAGACTATAATAGTCAACTTGATTTCTTGTAAACTCAGCCATAAACTTTCTGACTTGCGCATAGATCCTTCTGCTGGTAGCTATTTACTTCAGCAATCCACAGGCTTTGGCTCTCTCGAGCATATTCGCAACTCCTGGGGTCGTTAGACCTTCAGTGAGGATATTGGGGATTGCCTGCCATGGAGACAAGTACCACAGATGCTGTTGATCATCCAATGAAGGATGCAGAAGTGCCTAATGGGTTCAATCGTACTAGCAACACCAGCATCGACGACGATGATACGGCATCCGAGGACCCATGCGAGGAGGATGAAGACCCCCCACCTCAAGATATAACCTTCGACCAGATGCGTCGCAGAGGTTTGTTACCAACAGGGTGTTGTTATGATGACCGGATGAAGTTGCATATGAATGCGGACTTTTCACCGAACGCACATCACCCTGAAGATCCCCGTCGCATTCACGAGATTTTCAAGGCGTTTAAAAAGGTTGGCCTCGTCTATACAGGTCCCGAGGCAGAGTTGCCAAGAATTATGCGGGAGTGTCCTACACGTTATATGTGGCGCATACCTGCTCGTGCTGCCACCCGAGAGGAGATTTGCCTCGCCCATCATCCTGATCACTTTAGTTGGGTAGAAAACCTCGACAAGATAAGTTCGGCCGAGCTTCGAGAACTGACTAGGCGATATGATCAAGGGCGGGAATCTCTCTATGTTGGCAGTATGTCTTATCAGGCCGCCCTACTTTCAGCAGGGGGGGCCATCGAAACTTGCAAGAACGTCGTGACTGGTCAAGTCAAGAACGCATTTGCCGTGATTAGGCCACCAGGTCATCACGCAGAGTTTGATGCGCCAATGGGTTTTTGTTTCTTCAACAATGTCCCAGTAGCAGTCAAGGTCTGCCAACAGGACTATCCAGGCATTTGCCGAAAAGTTCTCATCCTGGACTGGGATGTTCACCACGGTAATGGTGTCCAAAACATTTTCTATCAAGACCCAAACGTCTTGTATATCTCTCTCCATGTCTACCAAAATGGCCTCTTCTACCCCGGTAAACCTCCCAATGATATGACACCGGATGGTGGAATCGACAAATGCGGAATGGATGCTGGCCTGGGTAAAAACATCAATATCGGTTGGCACGACCAAGGCATGGGTGACGGGGAATACATGGCGGCATTCCAGAAGATTGTGATGCCCATCGCCAAAGAGTTCAATCCAGACCTCGTGGTTATCTCTGCGGGATTTGATGCTGCTGATGGCGATGAGCTCGGGGGCTGCTTCGTTTCTCCCAGCTGCTACGCTCACATGACACACATGTTGATGTCCTTGGCTGACGGCAAGGTTGCAGTGTGTCTAGAAGGAGGGTACAATCTTAAGGCTATCTCGGTGTCTGCAGTGGCCGTTGCGAAGACACTCATGGGTGAACCACCACCAAAGATGGAAATTCCTAAGATCAATAAGGAGGCCGCACGCATACTTGCCAAGGTTCAATCTCATCAGGCCCCATATTGGGAGTGCATGAGGGCAGGTGTCGTTCGCATTCCTACCGACGTCCAGCCAATGATATCCAGCCGTCTACATGATGTGATCAGAAACGCCCAGAGACAGGTTCTGCAAACAAAGCACAACATGATACCTCTTTACATTCAGCGCGAGCATCTATACAAGTCGTACGAGAATCAGGTCCTAGTGACGCCAGGCCTTCACAAGGAAAAAAAGGTTCTCATTATCATTCACGATCCGTAAGTCAATTGTATGGGGAGGGGGTTTGCATCAGGGTCTTGACTACTGACATCACCTTTTAGCCCCGAGCTTCTCGCTCAGCCAGATGTTATAGACAGATCTGTCGACCCGCACAATGCCTGGGTGGTGAGTAGATATCAGTCATAATATGCGATGCAAGAACTAATAAGAATAGGTCGATGGTGTAACAGACTACATTGACTGGGCAATTGATCAAAAGTTCGGTGTCATGGACGTTAATATCCCAGCCTATGTCACCCACGACGAGGTCTGTGATTACATTCGTTAGTAAGGGTTTATCTCTGACCGTTGGTACAGGACTCCGACTCTTATGTATCTGGCTTTAAAGAGAAGGCTCTCACGGAACAGATCCAGACATTGGTGTGTTACTTGTGGGACAATTACTTGCAGCTTTACGATGCCGATCACATTTTCGTCATGGGCGTTGGCAATGCATATCTTGGAGTCAAAGTTCTTCTCATAAACCGAGGTAAGTCGACTCGTTACCATGAAGCTTCTTATCTCAAGTATCCTCTAAAACGGAATAGATTGCAAGTCAAGAATCTCTGGGGTGGTAAACTTTGCCAATGGAACGCTCAGGCCAGTCAAGTCAGAGTTTGATTCAGATCTATCGTCGTGGTATAAAGAGAACTCACGAGTCTACATTGCTGGAGATCATGCATGCTGGGCTGATCCTGATCTGACCCGAAAAGTCAACAAGCGACGCTTCGGAACAGTCGTCCGCAGTCCAATGTTTGGTCTGAACAAGATGATGGCGCACCACGCCAAGGAGGCGCGGGAGTGGATTCTTGAGAGGGTCGAAGAAGTAGCAGATGCTGATATGACTGAAGATGAAAAGTCATAAAAGCGGTCTCGGAAATGATGTTAGTTGCAAGTTAGGAGAAGCTGGGTACTCCCTTGTATAGGGGGGATGTTCTTGCTCTAGCAGGTCTTGGTGAGTAGCGCAACTGGAGAGAGAGTCTGTTTTCCTTATTCCTGTTATTATATACCTCTAGGCAGCGCTTTTGTACCGATATCGCATTTATCACCCATAGAAGTCATGATAACTGCCGCACAAGCATGAGATGTTCATTGTCTTGAAACAATACAGTATGTACAGTGTGCGCACGTGTATATTGATACCGTGTTTATCTGCTACCGGATTAGTCACGGAAGTCGGGATGTTCAATCTCCGACCTCCCTGCTTTGGTCCTCGACTTTTGGAAGCTCCATTGACCCAACTTGCGACTCGCACGCATGCTTGCGCTTTCATAAAGCCAAATCACAACGCATCGAAAGAAGCACTTGCCGTGCATCACATTTATCCTGTGTAAGGCAAGAATGGATCGCGACCGAGGTCGAAGGTGAGTTTTAAATCGTTTGCTTCTTCGTATTGCATCTTTCGTTATTCTTCATCATCATCGTTACGTCTCCCATCGTTTTGCGATATCATCTCGGCATCTCTAGCACCAACCTCGGACACCCTCGAAATACGTTACACGAAGACCTACCACTTCGAGCAATGCGCCTTGGTCGACACACGTCTCGTGTTGTGGCCCCGGACCCAAACTCGAGAGAATATCCATCAACTGAACGATCGTTTGATGGCTGGTGATATCGTGACGGGGGAAAGCGGCAGCGACTTTCACAAAATTATCGAAGATGCCTCCGAGTTCGAGCAGGCGCCTGACTGGCTTGTGCAGAGGAATGTCCGACGACACTGGAACGTTCGCTCTATTTGGTTAACCACCTGCGGGCGGCCAAGCCATCGTCATGAACCCGGCCATGAACCACAAGGGATAGTGATGTTGGTCCAGCTATGCTCTCATTCAGTATATTACTTCGGTCCCTCTGCCGTTCGGATTTCCACGCTGGATCAATATGGGCATGTTCATGGGAACGAGTCGTGCTTTTGGGTCGACCCAATTCCGACCCATATCCTAGGAGATGATGCTGGGTTTCCACCCATTTTGCCAGCATTACCTCCCACTCCACAGGCTTATCAGAGCAAGGATGGATACCATTGCTGCAACCATGGGGAATGATGCTTAGGAGCGTGTCAAGCGACGCTGGCCGGTTTATAACGGGATTCTAGACCGTCATGTCAACACTCAGCCGTGGTTTGTGGTAGTTACACACCTGCCTTCCTATTGAACTTGACCATGGCACGATATTTGGCCTGACCTCTGCCAGAAATTGGCAAGGACCGTAACGATGCAGCAGGTCATAGGACTGGAATTATTCTCTGCTTATTCGTATGCGTCTTGTTTTTGTTTCCTTTCTTTCTTTCTTTGTTTTTATAGCGTTCTCTATCCCATACTCTCAGAGCCTCTTAAACTCCAAAGCGCAAA